ACGCCAGGCCTTCTGGGTCGTATGACAAAAGAGTTTGCTTTGTTAGGTGCAGAGTAAGCTATCTGCTCTTTTGACAAAATTGCATGGTACTTTTGGATGCAGGAGTTTGCTTTCCAGGGTCTTTGGAAAGCCATAGTCACCATACCCATAGTAGAATTCATTATTCTGGGGAATTTGATAATAGTTCATCTGGGGCCACTGAACTATGGAAGGATTCCATCACCGTAGGACATTCATTGAAATATGGCTGTGTTAACTCTAAGGGGAAAATTATCAGCTAATTCATGAACAGATGTTTGTGGGGTTGAATGATAGTTTTTAATTAGGAAGATATCAATTTTATGAATAATTCCTATCGGATTCTTATTAGCTATTGACAGTTGGGTTTCTTCCAGACTGTCTCTAACATGTTATTAGTATGTGATTGAAGTGAAATGCTATCATGATTAAAATCATTATAGTGAGCTTCTTTTGTATCAAAACAGCTGGTATGTTCCACTAGTCATGGGTACAGCAGAATTTCATAATAGGTAACCTATAGCACTTACTGCTATATAACTTTCCCTTTTATATTTCAAATTGTCATTATTGGAGAGAAGATAGGCTGTAGTTGAATGTCTTACTATCATTCAAAGAAATAATCAGTAGGCAAAATGCTTAATCAATAACTAATGAAGGTGCTTCCTGAGGATTATGAGGAATCCCTCTATGATTATTTCCAGAGAAATGTCCAATTCAGTCCTTTAGACTTTCCTCTGATGACACGTCATGATGCACGGATACCCAAAGCACAATCAGTGCTGTCGAATCTGCTGTGAGTTGTAGAGCTCCTATGGGGCAGGGTTTAACTGCCCTGCGGGTCTCTGAGACTAGAACTCTTTATGGGAGTAGAACCCCTCATCTTCTTCTGAGGAGTGCTTGCTGGTTTCTAGCCACTAACATCCTTGCAGTTAATAGGCCAACAAGTAACCCACCACGCCACCATGGCTCCCCTCACATTGCACAGTTAAAGATAAAAGTTTTAGCGCTAGCTTGTCTTGTAACAGATTCTCATCAAATTTTCTCTACAGTCTTTTCAATGACAATGTCAATCAAAATGTCCCTAATGACCGAACATACTAGGAGAAGCTGAAGAACCTTATATGTACCTCTGGTACAACTGTATTTGTTAGGAACAAGTACATAAAGAGAAAGCAGTACAATCCTGGTAGGCAGTAAAATATATAAATAATAATATCAAGAAAACATTATAAAATGATAAATTTACCTTTTCCTTACCCCCTTCTTTTATTCCTATCTCAAGATTATTAGCACTGTTTCATGTGCCAGAAATTCTTTTATAGGAAAGGTCATTTTCCAATGTAAGGAAATGAATGTGTGAATAGCTGCTAGTCAAGAGAACAATTTGCTAGCTATTTGGCCAAGTGCTGCACAGTTTTAATAACCACCTACACAGAACACTCAGGGAATTGATTTTTATTTTAACGGCGAGTGAACAGAAGTGACTGTTCTTCATGGGAGAGCAGTGGTGTGGCTTTATTAGGGTTTATTTCCTAGGACTTAGACTCTCAGGATTTGGGGGTTGGTCTCATTCCCTGGTCACTGCACTATGTTGGAAGAAGGAGAAAATAAGAGATGGAGCTGATGCCTCCTATACTTTGTCCTATTTCATTGTTAGCAGCGATGTGGTGTAATGGCCCAGACCCAACTTTCAGGTCACAGGGGCCTGATCTCCAGCTGCTCCTGTGCCAGCTCTCCTATGCTCTTGGAAATGTTACTGACAAGTGCAGTCTCCGTTTTATCGTCTGTAAAGTAGAAACACTATTACCGCTTGATAGATGCCTTCATAGATCATTGTGAGAGCTGAATGACATAGAGTATGTAATATGCCCAGCGCAACATCCAGCATATGTTAAGCTCTCAATAAATGCTAGTTTTACTTTCCCAGTCACCTTAATAATTTCTTTGATTCAACATCATTTTTTTAAAAGACTTTCTGCTCTAAGAGAATATTAGGGACATTGCTGGCTTAGTGGGAAATCATAATATTTTAGTTCCTCATCTACTCCAGTGAAATTGCCTCCTTGAGTTTATCAAATAACCTAAATGGATGAATCCAGAGGATATACATCAATCTTTATCTTACTTGATTTTTGTAGCATTTAGCTTTTTTTTAAAAAAATCAATTTATTGGGGCTCATACAATTCATCACAATACATAGATCAATTGTGTAGAGCACATCTATACATTTGTTGCCCTCATCATTCCCAAAATTCGCTTGCCTCTTGGGTTCCCGGAACCCGCTAATTTTCCTTTTTGTCCCCCTCCCCTTCCCTTCCTCCTCCCCTCTCCCCCATGCACCCTTAATAATTTATAAATTATTATTGTATCTTATATTACACTGTCCGGCGTCTCCCTTCACCCACCTCTCCGCTTCCCGTCCCCCAGAGAGGAGGCCACACGTAGCTCCCTGTGATCCATTCCCCCCTACTACATCCCCTTTCCCTCCTGGTATTGCCATTTAGCTTTAAGAAAAAAATGTCCCACACTCTTGGAAGCATGATTCTTCTATAGTCATGACAACAGCCATCAGAATTTAAAGCTTTTAGTCAATCAATGGCAGTTTTATAGTTAACAAATAAACTTAAAGATTTGTTTTAAGTCCATCTAAACTGATTTGAGTCCTGCCAGGATTCGAGTAAGTAGCTGCCTTCATTGCCAAGCACTCTGCAGTCGGGGTAAACAGAGTCTTGAACATTTTGACATCAGCAGGTCACTGGCAGCAAAGCTTTTCTGATCTAAATGTCTACACAATATATCAATGGTGCTGATTAAGCCACAGTGTTTGGCACATGTAAAATAACTAAGAAGGATTTTATGCAAACTTAAAGTAAGTGTAAAGGAGCTTATGCCATTTTATTAAATTTAAGTTGTAGTGTCTTTATATGACTTTAGGAAAAGAACACTAAAAGTACTTTGATGTATTCATTTAAAAATTAATTTATATTTATGAAAATGTTGTTTCAGTGCTGTCTCCTGAAGTGCATTCTTCCTGGGGGGCAGGGGGTCCACGTAGTTGGGACTACGGATGGATGGATGGATTATAATAAGAGCTGTAAGAGCCCCCAATAAAATGATTTTTTTAAGTGCTATTGTTATTAGTAAATTATGTCAAGTTAGTTTTGACTCATAGCAACCCCACATACAACAGAGCAAAGCACCAACCAAGTCTTGTGTCCTTCTCATGGGATGTGCCACCTTATCAATCCACCTTCCGTAGGCCTTCACTTTTACTGATCACACACGCTGTCCTTAAGGTCTTTACTTTGAGGAGGCAGCTTTTGTCCAGTTGTATTTTCAGTGACTTCCAACCTGAGGAGAAGAGCCTGGTGATGTAGTGGTTGCACATTGGGCTGCTACCTCCAAGGTCAGCAGTTCGAAACCACCAGGGGCTCCTCGGGAGAAGAGGGGATTTTCTACTCCTGTGAAGAGTTCCAATCTCAGAAACTCACAGGGGCAGTTCTACCCTGTCCTGTAGGGCCCCTATGAGTCGGCATTGGCTTGATGGCAGTCAGGTTTGTGTTTTTGTTGAACCTGAGGAAGTCATCCTCTAGCACGGTGTCAGACAACATCGCCCTTCAATCAGTGGCCGTTTTCCTCTTCCTTCTAGTTTCTTAATCGGAAAGTGCCACTGAAACTTGTCCTGCAGGGGTTAGCCGAGTGGTGTTTTAAATAGTGGTGGCATGGATTCATGGCGCAAGCTACCACTGAACAACAAACTTACACAGGGTGGTGGTTAGTTAAAATTATTCAGATCATACTTTAAAAAGTCAAAAAGTCCTTAAAAATTTAATATAGGCCACAAATTCCCTTCCCCATGTCTATTTTACCTATCAGTTCCACTCTTCAGAAGTAACCTCCTTACCTAGTTTGGCTAGATTCCCTTTTTTTTCTATTTTCTACATAAAATGTACAGTTTGCTATATATTTTTCTGATCTATTGAAAACATTATCTGCTATACTTATCATCAGTTGGAAAAGGTTATTTGTCAATAGCTGTGTGGGAGAGAAATACATTTCAAATAAATCTCAGGCTCTGCCACTTCCTACCTCTCACATTTAATTTCCTTGCCTGCCAGAAGGTTAGGTAATATTTTTAAAATTAAATAACCAATATTTATGTTACTATGATTACGAAATCATTTTATTCTGAACCAAGCAGAATATTATAACCACATTATTTTACAAGTTTTTGTTTTTTCTCTCTTTTTTGTTTTCTTCATTTACCTGGTTTTGTTTTGTTTTTCCAAATGCGCAATCATCTTTTTCATTTGCCAAGCAATACTACTTTACGTGCTCTCAGATACATGTACTTACCTATTATTGTTTATTGTCTTCCTTTTCCACTAGAATGTGAGCCACATAAGAGTCAACAATTTAATCTAAAGTTGAAGGTCAGAATGGGTTGGACGATGCAGGACACATAATAGGCACTCAAACAATATATATGTTTGTGGATGCCTTTGTTGCCCCTTTAATTGAGCTGTCTCTTGCATTTGTTTCATGTCCAAATCTCTTTGTTCTTTTTAAAAAAAAATATTTGTCCTTATAGATTATATGTAAATTAAAAAAATAAATTTATTGTAATGAATTTTGGAGGAGATAGGGGAAAATTTCTGGGATTATTTTTGATTCTAGGAAGAAGCAGAACTAACTCATATTAACAAAATTATCCAGAGTGTGTCCATTGATTTTCCCCACAGCTTACTCATCATTAAAACTTAAATTATAATACCTACTGTGTTGTTTTGAATATTAAATCATACCCTTCCCCTACCAAAGATCGCTTTCCCTCTAAAAACAACTGGTGATATGAAAAGAAATATAAGAATACATGTTGAATGTGATATAAAAATATAATCATTGATTTCCTTTAATTTTTCAACTTTGTATTATGATTTCAGTGAACATTTATTATTTATTTATTTTCCCAGGGCCTGTTTGTTGTGGCCCCCAGAAGGGACAGGCCACAGGAGGCCTGCCCAGGTCCTGAGGGCATCCTTTCTCTCTCTCCTCGTTACGAGAGTCACACATGTGGCAGGTGTAACCTGGGAGAGCCGATTTCAGTGATGAGCAACTTGTTTTCCATTCCATAATCAGTGAACATTTAAGTTTGAGACATTGGTTCCAATTCCATAATCTAACAACACTATTTACACTTCCTCCTGGTTTTTATAATTTCCATTCCTCCGTCTGTTCTCTCTCTTCTTACCTTCTAAATGGTATCCCTGGGAAAATGCTGCCCTTTCGATTTCGTTTGGTTGCTTGCTCTATGGAGTGTGTGCAATCCTGATGTCGTTGCTCACATTCTGAGTCTGTTATGGCTTTAGCCGTCCAACAACAGTTGTAGTAGCACATCGACTGGGGGCTGCAGATATTCAGGCTGCCTTTAGAAGAGATCTAGGGACAAAGATCATCTTTGCCGATGTCAGATGGGTCTTGGCTAAAAATAAGACAATTAGAAAGATGTTTACTTGTGATTATTGACTATACAAAGGCATTTGACTATGTTCACCATCCAGACAATGTATATCTTTGAGAAGAATGGGACTTCCAGAACACTTCAGTATGCTCTCGCAGAACATGTACATAGTAATATATATACACTGATTATTTAATTTTTTAAAATGGTATTTCACTTAAATTTCTAACCTGCTGGTGGCCACATCAAACAATCTTGCTGCTATTATTAGGTGCCATTGAACTTGGCTGCCAAAAGTTTAGATATTTAAATTAACTACCATTAAAAAATTAAATAATCAGTATGTATATTATTTTGAGTATGAAATCATATTCACTTTGAACCAGATATTATAAATACACCATTTTTATTTTACATTTAATTTTCTTCTTTTTATTTTGGTCAGTGCTTTGTTTTCTTCATTTACCTGCTTTTTTCAAATGCTCGAGGATCTCTTTCATATGCCGAGCAATAGTACTTTCCACACTCTCAGACACATGTACTTATTTATCATTGTTTATTGTTTTCCTTTTTCACTGCGATATAATTTCTATAAACGTTACAAATTCAATCTAGAGTAACAAATTCGTTCTTGGGCCACAGAGGTGAGTTCAGTTCTAGACGTACCCCATAATAAAGGCCATTGTCTCAGAGGTTCTACCAGTCTATATCAGATCAGTAAACTTGGTAGTTTTTTATGATTAGGAATCTTATTTCACATTTTTTTTCTAACTCTATGCAGGCAGGACTCTCTATTGTGATCTTTTCTGGGCAGTCAGGAGTGGCAATGGGGGACCACATAGTTCTTGTGGGCTCAGCATTGTGGAGTCTCAGGTTCATATAATCTAGTCCTTTACTTTTTTCATTCTTTTCCCTTTGAGGATGCAGCTCCCAGTAGCTGCACCGTACAAGTAGAACATTGTCTTTGTGTGCTTTGTTATGCCACTTGACCTTGCTGTCTCCTGAGACAATGGTCCTGACCCACTAGGTGCGTGGCTATTGTTAAGAAGTTTTCATAACTTTGCCCCTCATATACTGTACTATATTCATGGGTATGTTTGCAGCACATATAAATACATATGTAGAAATAACCTGTTTGCACACACACGTATGGGTAAGCTATATAAATTCATGTTAAAACCATATCGATATCTAATCTATATTCTCTCGATACTCATGGGGACAGTGTCCTACTACATAGCCTTAGCTTCTGTGTCTATCTATGCAATGACTCAGAGATTAATGGAAGAAATACAGCTAGCATGCTTTTTAGAAATCAGGATGAGAAGACTTCATTTCATGTCCTTTTTAAAAAATACTTTCATTGGGGGCTCTTACATCTCTTATCACAATCCATACATTCATCCAGTGTGTCAAACACTTGCACATATGCCACCATCATCATTTTCAAAGCATTCTCTTCCCACTTGAGCCCCTGATATCAGCTCCTCATTTCTTCCCCCTCCCTCCCCTACCCACCCTCCCTCACGAACCCTTGATAAGTTATAGATTATTTTTCCCATATCTTACATTGTCCTCTGTTGCCCCTCACCCACTTTTCCATTATTCTTCTTCCTGGGAGGGGGTTCTAGATTGATCCTTGTGATCAATTCTCCCTCCCCCCCCACCCTCCCCTAATCCTCCTGGTATCTCTACTCTCATTGTTGGCTCTGAGGGGTTTATCTATCCTGGATTCCCTGTGTTGCGGGCTCTTATCTGTAGCAGTGTGCATGCCCTGGTCTAATCCGATTTGTAAGGTAGAATTCAGCTCATGATAGTGGGGGAAGGAAGCACTGAAAAACTAGAGGGAAGTTGTATGTTTCATCAGTGCTATACTGCACCCTGACTGGCTCATCTACTCCCTGTGACCCCTCTATGAGGGGATAAAAACTTTAAACTTGTGAATTAGGTAAATGTTTATAGAGCAGACCATTGGTTTTACATTTAGTAATTCATACACATTTTGTCTGAACTCATCCATTACAATTCCCCCAAGGTACCATCTTTTATTTATTTATTTACTTGGCTTCCATTTATTTATTTAACAGTTTTACTGGCACTTCACATGTCATACAATTCCATATTTCAAACATACCAAGAAGAATTGTACAATCATTACCATAGTCAAGTTTAGAACATTTTCTTCTTCCTTTTACTTACTGCTATTCATATAATTACTTTTTTAATTGTGGCAAAAATATACACAACAAATATTCTCTAATTCAACAGTTTCTATATGTATAAATCAATGCCATTGATTATAATCTTTGTGTTGTACAACCATTATTGATATCCTTTTCCAAATTATTCCACCACAATTAACATAAACCCAATGCTCCCTAAGCAAAATTCTTCCTCCTCCTTCACTCATGGTATCGATTGATCAAATTTGTTTATTTTTTAGTAGTTTTCATGATATAATTTCACATATATACACTTCCATAGTGCTTTTTAAAAGAGTTGTATATACATCATCACAATCAGTTCTAATGCTCCCCCCCATATTCAGCATTCATTGTTTGCTCCCCAAATACCCTCCCTGTCTCCCACGTGCCCCCCAAATCATTGCCTTAGTTATTGTCTGTACGAATTCACTCATTCTGTGTTTCACAAACCAGAAAACCAAACAGAAACAATAAAAAACAAAACAAGACTGCAAGAAGAAAATAATAATTATAGTAATATAAAGATAAAATTAAATATAAAGAATAAATCAGAAAAGACCACTCACAATATTTTAAAAACCAGAGAAGAAATTTCTGTTGTGAAACAAATGAGAAATACTTGAGCTTAGAGAAAATTCAGGTTGGGTAAAAAGGGAGGTCACTGACAAAATATCATATTATATCATGGTTTGAGCCACCATAATCAAGTTTACAATAATCTCTGTCTCATAGTAAAGCTGTCTCTGATAGTAAAGAGTCCCTTGCCTGTGGCTAGAGGGGATCTGCCAGAAGCCTCATCTGATGAGCTACAGTGCAGATGGATTTGGGGCACCCACTGTCCTCCATAGCCTTCTACAAATTGGGTGTTCACCATTGAAGCTCTGATACTTTTCCCTTCACCATATTTTCATTTTGTTATTGTTATCTTTGGATTACACAGGCTTGTGAGCTTTTTTTGATGTGGATTTAGTTGATGCCTCACTTGTTTGTTTGAATACAATTCTTTAAGATGGCTCCTGGTTTGACTACAAATCTTTAAAACTCCAGACACTATTCCAATCGATAGTCAGGCACTATCTACTTTCTTCATCACAGTTTGCTGTAGTACCCTTATCTTTAGTGATCTCTTCATAAGGGCAAGTACCAAGCAAGGCCATGTTTTAAGAACCAATTGTTCTTCGATTGGGGCTAGAATTAAGTGGGAGCCCAGAATCCATCTGTTTGTCTATGGGTCCCAATTTTTCCCTGTGTTACCTGATGTCCTCTTTTTTACCCCCTAATTCTTCAAACTTAATTGTTGGATAATGTTGCCCTTTTGATCTTAAATGGTTATTATAACCCACATGAGTTCAGCTCTAGATTTGAAGAGTGACACAAGTCCATAGTCTTTGGGGTCCCATCAGTTTCTATCTGACCAGTAAGCCTAGTCTCTCTTATGATTTTGATTTCTGTTCCACTTTTTTCTGCCATTCTATTGAGGACTTTATAAAATGATCCTTTTCTAAGGCACTGATAGTGGTAGTGGGATACCATGTAGCTTTTCTGGTCTCAGGGTTATGGAGACTGATTTTTCAGTGCTCATTGGACAAATTGTTTCCACATATTGTTTTTAATTTCCACCAGAGGCCACCTTAGTTACACAGTAGATCTTTTCTCACAAGTTTTTAAGACCCCAGTGAGTACTCACTGAAGTAAAATGTGAGTTATTTTACACCAGTGTGTTTGGTTATGTCTATGAAGTTTTCATGACATTGTTTCCCTTATATGCCCTACCACATTTACAGATATATTTGAATCAAAAATAAATACACATATACAAATATCTTTTGTCAAGCCCATTTATTTATTTATTCCTGGGTATAGTCCCTTTCTGGGTCTCCCACCTGTTCAGCTTGCATGATTATCCGAACATCTGCTTGCAGATCACCACTCTTGTAGAATTGTGTATACAATAGGATTTGCCTCTGGTGCCTTTAACGCTGCAAACAATGCAGCGTCTTCCCGTCCTCCATCACTTTTTGTCAACTCCCCTATGATTGTGTACTGCCTTCCCCTTTACCTAAGTTGGACAGTCTTCGAAAGGGAAGTCCTTGGAGAAGGACATCATTCTTGACAAAGTAGAGGGTTAAAAGGAAAAAAGTAGGGTGTATGGGGGAAATCCTCAATGAAATGGATTAACACAGTGGCTGCAGCAATGGGTTCAAATATAACAATTGTGAGGATAGTGTAGGACCAGGCAGGGCTTTGTTCTGTTGCTATGACTCAGAACCCAACTCGTATGGCATCTAACAACAGCAACGGATCCAATATGCTGTGTGGTCTTCTTATCCCAATGTCTTCTTGATGTGTTAGAAACCGGAGCCACTCAGGACAAGCATTTCCAAGCAGGCTCGCAGGTATGCTTAATTTGTCATTGTTTTTCATCATTGTTACT